TCTTTTAGATTATAATTTAATGTAAATTTTAAACCCTTTGTCCACATATTTCCCCATTGTTCAAGCATCACATTATAGCCAAAATTCCTTACAATTTCTTAAAGGATCTCTAAATAATTCTTCCCTCCAACCAGGTAGACTTGGTGGGAAGTATAGTCCAGGGGTCTGTAACCTTAAACACTCAAAGAGGCATTTGGACCCGTTTCCCACAGAAAAGAAAACACCGGGAGCCACAAAACCCTTCCTGTGCCTGACTATTTCTTGAGCGGCCACAAAACTAGCCTATGTAGTTGAATTAAACGTTCTCTTTTCTTCTGAAACTTTTCTTTTCTTGGATTTATCCATGGTTGGCCTACCGGAGGTTGAATAAATCGCGTGCTGGCGGGTGTCACACATTGGCGGTTGTGATGCATATTTTGAGTGACAGGGAGCCACAGCAGAGGGGTGAAAGAGCCACACGTGGCTCCAGAGCCGCAGGTTGCTGACCCTTGGTATAGTCCAACACAACTGTAAGACAGCAGGTTAGGGAAGGCAGCTGTAGGTAACCGCAATTTATAACACAGTTTAGCTTGGAACATCTGGTCTTTACATATATTTTAAATAAAAGGGCAGCTATAACTTTTGACATTGCTTTTCCAAATTTGGTGCCCAGCAAATGCTAACAAGGCCCATAAATTCTAGCCATTAGGGTAGGAACCAGAATAAGAGTTGGAGGGGACCTTGGAGGTTTTGTAGCCCAACCTCCTGCTCAGGCAGGAAACTCTGTACTATTTCAGACAAATGGTTGTCCCATCTCTTCTTAAAAATTTACAACATTCAAAAGTTCTGGAGGCAAGTTGTTCCACTGATTAATTGTTCTGTCAGGAAAGTTTTAGGTTAGTTCTTTCCTTGATTAGTTTCCATCCATTGCTGCTTGTTCTGCCTTCAAATGATTTAGAGAATAGCTTGACCCCCTCTTTTCTGTGACAGCTCCTCAAACATTGGCACCCCAGTCGTTCTCTTTGTTCGTCTAGACCAGAGGTCTTCAAACTTGGCAGCTTTAAGACGTGTGGACTTCACTCCCAGAATTCTCCAGCTATGCTGGCTGGAGAATTCTGGGAGTTGAAGTCCACACGTCTTAAAGCTGCCAAGTTTGAGGACTCCTGGTCTAGATATACCCAGTTTTATTTTATTTTATTTTAATTTATTTTATTTTATTTTATTTTATTTTATTTGTCAAGAACGTACTAGATAATATATATAAGTATAAGCATGAACTGAATACATAAAATAGATACGAATAGAGGAAACATTAGGACAGGGACGGTAGGCACGCTGGTGCTCTTATGCACACCCCTTACTGTTCATCATATGTTTTAGCCTCCGGCCCTTTAAACATCTTTGTTGCTCTTCTCAGCATTCTTCTAGAGCAGAGGTCTTCAAACTTGGCAGCTTTAAGACTTGTGGACTTCAACTCTCAGAATTAGCTGGCTGGAGAATTCTGGGGAGTTGAAGTCCACAAGCTTTAAAACTGCCAAGTTTGAGGAGCCCTGTTCTAGAGTGCCAACATCTTTTTTATATTGTGGTGACCAAAACTGGATGCAGTATTCCAGATGTCGTCTCACCAAGACAGTGTATAGCAGTATTAATACTTCACATGATCTTGATACTATTCCTCAGTTGATGCAGCCTAGGACTGCATTGGCTTTTCTTTCTTCTGACTGTCTCAGTCAGTTGATGAAGTTAATGAGATTGCTTTGGAGTCTTCTCCAAACTTATCCTTCTCTCCAAATAATGACATGCAATCAAAGGTGGGCTTCAAATAATTTAACAACCAGTTCGCCTCAGCACCAAAAATATGAGCGTGTGGCTTAAAAAACGCAGCTAAATAGGACACAACTACTGGTTCGCGCTGAACCCACCCTTGCATGCAGTCATTATTTCTGTAGATGACTTTTCTCCAAAGATGGATCATCTAAGGAACTAATGAGAAGATGTAGGTTTTTAAGCTTGGCATCCTCTTGACTGATCCAGTTGGACCAAGCTGGAATCTTGACATTTTCCCCTCCCCATATAGAATAGAATAGAATTCTTTATTGGCCAAGTGTGATTGGACACACAAGGGATTTGTCTTGGTCCATACACTCTCGGAGTACATAAAAGAAAAGATACATTCGTCAAGAATCATAAGGTACAACATTTAATGATAGTCGTAAGGAACAAATAAGCAATCAAATCATATTAGGAAACAGTCAATCAATAAATCGTAAGGATAGCAACAAGGTTACAGTCATACAGTCATAAGTGGGAGGAGATGGGTGATAGGAACGATGAGAAGATTAATAGTAGTGCAGACTTAGTAACTAGTGTTGAGAGAATTATTTGTTTAGCAGAGTGATGGCCTTCGGGAAAAAACTGTCCTTGTGTCTAGTTGTTCTGGTGTGCCATGCTCTATAGCGTAGTTTTGAGGGTAGGAGTTGAAACAATTTATGTGCAGGATGTGAGATGTAAATATTTTCACAGCCCTCTTTTTGACTCGTGCAGTATACAGATCCTCAATGGAAGGCAGGTTGGTAGCCATTGTTTTTTCTGCAGTTCTAATTATCCTCTGAAGTCTGTGTCTGTCTTGTTAGGTTGGAGAGCCAAACCAGACAGTTATGGAGGTGCAGATGACAATCTAATCACATTGGTGACATTACTACAAGTAATCCTCAATTTACAACCACAATGGAGCCCAAACTTTCTGTTGCTAAGTGCGAAATTTGTTAACTGAGTTTTTTTTATGACCTTTCTTGCTACAGTGGCTACAGTGGAATCACTACAGTTGTTAAGTTAGTGACATGGTTGTTAAGTGAATCTGCCTTCCCCATTGACTTTGCTTGTCAGAAGGTCACAAAAGGGAATCATATGACCCTTGAATATTGCAACAGCCATAAATAGGAGTCAGTTGCCAGTTTTGAATACCTGACCATGGGGACGGCACATCAGTTGCACATGTGAAAAATGGTCATAAGTAACTTGTTTCAGTGCTGTTGTAACTTTGAATAGTCACTAAATTAATTGTTGTAAGTCGAGGGTTACCTGCAATTTCTCCTCTGAAGCAGTGATGAAATCCAAATTTTTTTACCACCGGTTCTGTGGGCGTGGCTTGGTGGGCATGGCAGGGAAAGGATACTGCAAAATCCCCATTCCCTCCCCACTCCCGGGGGAAGGATACTGCAAAATCTCCATTCCCACCCCACTCTGAGGCCAGCCAGAGGTGGTATTCGATGGTTCTCCGAACTGCTCAAAATTTCCACTACCAGTTAACCAGAACCTGTCAGAACCTGCTGGATTTCACCCCTGCTCTGAAGCAAAGGCGCAAAGGTTGTGTCAGACCAATTCTCTTTGGCTGCCAGTAAAAATTCATCTAGAAAATCCACCATCTCAGGATGTTGAGATCAACAGAAAGAGAGTTATTATCTTTTTATGAACAAATAATGCCCTTTACATGGTGTAGCAAGTGGATTAAATAAAATGGAACGTTACCTTGGTAAATTTAAGAGAAAACACTTTCACTATATTATTATAGAATCTGATCTGTCCATAGCCAGGAATTGTCTTCTCTGGTGATATGATGTAGTGGAAACAATATTGGACTGTTACAGGAGACTGGATTGGAAGAGGAATGTCAGAAAAAGAGATTCAAAATGAGTCTAATTTAAGGCTGAAATTTGATTGGCTGCCATGTCACACTGGAGTTCTCCTTCTTTGCAAAGACTTTTCATGAGCAATTAAGTTATATTTGTCCCGGTTCTCACCTAGATTTTATGCATGGCTGGGCAGAACTAATCTTTGTTTTAAAATAATCCGTGTTCCTCTAATCATAAGAAGAAACACAGCAGGCTTTCCGGCTAGGCAGTTCTGATGTAGTGCATGAAACAAACTATATAATCTGGATTATTCTCCTCGAGAGAAAGAAATTATTCTCCATTGACTTTGCAGTCCTGAAATCTCTCATTTTAAACTTGATCTTGCCCTACTGCTTTTTTCCCCCAAATCTGAAGTTTATTCTATTTTTTAATAACATTTTGCATAGCATTTTATGCACTTTTCTTGTAAAACCCCACCTGGAACAGCATACCCCTTCCAGATCAGATTGGCCCCTATTCTGCTGGACTTTTGCAAAGTGTTGAACACCCAGATTTTGGGGATCCAGGAGGTTAGATCGCCCACTGAAAGGTCTCTGTGAATTGTTTTGTTGGGCTTGGTTTCTGATGACCACTGTTGGTTTTTCATTCTTTGCTAATATTATTTTTATTGTTTTAATATGTTGTTTGTTCTACATTCATCACGTGTCTAATACATTACACATGTAGTATGGCTATATTATTTTTATCCTTCTCATCTGTTCCACTACTTTTCCTATTGGTATCATTATTATGATTGTTATCCTTTATTCTTATAATTATTATTGCTTGTTGTTTTGCATGTACCCTGAATTTGCACTGACACAAATTCCTTGTGTGTCTAATCACATTTGTTTCTCTTCTCTTCTCTTCTCTTCTCTTCTCTTCTCTTCTCTTCTCTTCCCTTCCCTTCCCTTCCCTTCCCTTCCCTTCCCTTCCCTTCCCTTCCCCTCCACTCACTCCAATCCAATCCAATCCACTCCACTCCACTCCACTCCACTCCACTCCACTCCACTCTACTCCACTCCACTCTACTCTACTCCATTCCTAGTCTAGTCTAGTCTAGTCTAGAGGGCCCATACAAATTCACATTCGGTATTAACTTCTACACATGCTAATTAAGACACAAGAACTGTTAAAATATAGTAGAATTCCTAAGTAAGTTTGCAAATAATTGCTCCTTCAAGAACTGTTTCCCCAGTCTCATATATCTTATTTTGGCCTACAGAATTTATTTTTTCTTCTCTTAGAATTTTAACACCTTTTTTAAAAAAAAATGTAGTTAGCAAGGGAGCTAACAAGCTTCCCATCCATATATATGAATTCTTATTTTTCTTTTGCTTCCTTTCTCAGAGTGAATTGGATGAGACTCAGATTCAGTTGGGTGGAGATGACGTGGACTTGCCAGACGACCTCCAGAAGATGGTAGCAGAGGATCAAGAAGAAGAAGAAGACAAAGATACTCTTTTAGGACAGCTTCAGAACATCCAGAATATGGACGTGGATGCTATCAAAGAAAAAGTCCAAGCGACTTTCACTGATATTAAGCAGTCAGCTGAACAAAAATGTTCTGTAATGTAGTGAAGACATTTCACAAGACCTAGGTACAAACGTCCATAGAAGTGGATGGCTAGTGGGACCACAGCAACAATTGGTGCTGCTGCTTACTCATCACACCTTCCCTCTTAATGAAAAATGGTGTTTTGTTTTCTTTTTTTCCAGATAACATTAAAAACGGCCATTGAGGGAAGTCATGATGGTGATAATGTGATTTCCAATTTTGTAGATTATTATTATCCATTTCTGTACCCCTTTGCTCACATACGGTGTGTAGAACCATTTGCAAATATTTTGCACCAGGGGTGGGTTCTAAATTTTTTTACTACCTGTTCTGTGGGCGTGGCTTATTTTGTGGGCGTGGCTTGATGATCATGTGACAATTCTTTAGGATTTAGCAGAGGTACTGGTCTACCAGGCTTTTAACTGCTTGCAGAGCTGTACCGGTCTACCCATTTATTTTTGCAGGCACTGGTCTACTCATGTATTTTTGCAGGCACTGATCTACTCATGTATTTTTGCAGGCACTGGTCTACTCATTTGTTTTCTTTTAACACTGATCAGCTGTAGGGCGGCTCTTTCAAGCCCCGTGGCAAGAGTTTAAACAGTTTTTTTCCCTCTAGCCATCAGCTGGGACTCAGGAGGCAGCAATAGATTGGGGGTGAGGCCAAATAAAAGATAAGAATAATGCAGGGGGCGGGGGGGCGGGGAGCAGAACCGGTTCGGTGACATCATATCGTCACCGCTACTGGCTCGGGAGAACTGGGCCAAACCGGGAGGAACCCACCACTGCTTTGCACTAATATGTAGCAGTTCAAGCATCAAATCCAGAAAGTACTTTTGTTACTTTGATGCAAATAAACAAGTATCACAATGAACAAAATATTCTTCAACAAGCACTCAAAGATTGCATTTTACTTATAAGATACAAGAACCGTTTTTCTGAGGGGTGTGTTGCATCTTTGTGTGTCTGTGCTCACACACATATTTGTACACGTGTGTGTGTGTCTGTGTGTCTGTGTGTGGTTTTGTCTGTATCTATCCATCCATCTGTGACTAGGAACTAAAAGCAATGAAAGTGAACTTAATTAAAATGAAGAAGGAATAGACGGTGAAAATTACTATATTGACAAGTACTGTAATAAAAACATTTTTTTCTTCTATTAGTGAACTGATTATCTGATTATATACAGTCTTCACACTTTTTAAAATCTTAATGTCTGAATTCTATAGGGTTCATTCCCAGGTAAATTCATATTTGCAGCTGTTGCTACAATTATTTTCCCACTTAAATTAAAAAACATAAACCATAAATAATTATATTTCCAGCATTCTGGTAATGTATTTTTTTAGATCCCTTTATGTAGAATACTCTTTGGGACAGAATTTTGTTACCCATACATTAACATATTAATTGTTGTATGTACCACTCCTCCCTCAGGATCTCTGTATTATTTTAAATAGATTATACTGTTGTTTTAATCCATGTAAGACCCCCATTCGCAAGTGTCCACTTGAAAAAATTAAATTCATGCATAAATTCTGTTTTATTAAGGGGAGGAAATGTTATAAATGAATCTGATAAAAATATGCAACATATTAGACATCTTTTTCTGTAACTTCATTGACACAGGCTCTATCTCTCATTTCAAGCAATTTTGAAGATCAAAATGCAACAACTTCAACCAAAACATTTTGCTCCATTTTTTTCTTAATTAGATAAGTTTATTGTCCTCTATCTCCCTCTAGTGTCAATCGTTCAAAGTTCCATTATCATGTTTCCTCTTTAAAAACAGCCCCAAATTACCACCATTTCCCACGGGAGGAATTCTTCTAGTTAACTCAAAACTATAATTCCAAATCCATCTTAACTTAATCCATAGTTAACTTTCTAAAAATCCATATTCTAAGCACTCCTTTTCAAATTAATAAAAATATTTTTTCAGAACTTTTAAAATTGTATTTAAAACACTTTCTCCAAGGAGAAAGCAATCTGCCCAATGTATGCAGTAAGAAATTGCCAGTCTGAAGGGTCCTAATATTTCCTGTTTAGTAAAAGAAATGCTCAAAAAGTGATTAAGAAATTAGACTTGGTTGAGTTTTATGTCTTTAAAAGGCTACATTACAAATGTGACCCTGATGATATTCCTTAGCTCCCAGCCATTCAGTTTATAAGCCAATCACAAATAGCAATAGCACTTAGACTTATATACTGCTTCATAGTGCTTTACAGCCCTGTCTAAGTGGTTTACAACATCAGCATATTGCCCTCAACAATCTGGATCTTAATTTTACTGACCTCAGATAGATGAAAGGCTGAGTCAACCTTGAGAGAGTCAGGATCGAACTGCTAACAGTCGGCAGAATTAGCTTGCAATACTACATTCTAACCACTGTGTTATCATGGCTCTTATAATCACAAAACGACGATTCCTGTAATCTACTCACAAGGAGCAGCTGCCCGAAGTCATGTGGGTTATCTCAATGATCTCTCCTTCCTCTGAAAAAATTTTTCCAGTACAGATCAAGCATCCAGCTGAGGTTTTCATTATAAGCAATGTCCTACTACCTGCAGGACATCAGCTCACCGTAGCTCTTGCCAGAAGTTGAAAAATACGCAACATTTTAGGCTGATGGACATCACTAGGCTTTTGAAATACATCTTGGGTGCTTTGACAGAATAGCAGACCTGGTGGATGCAGCCATCCATAGTAGAATATAACCTTGCCACCTTCCTAGACTCACTGATCTCTCCTAGGTCAAGCTTACCTTTGTTATATAATGCTTTCTGGAAAGGTAATGACTCTTCTAAATGAGGCTGAGTTGCAACAATTCACCATTTTAATCTTTTGAGGATATCTATAGGGGCTTATATGAGTCCATAAAATGATGGTGGTAAAGTCTAGCAACTTGCCTTTCTTTCTTTCTTTCTTTCTTTCTTTCTTTCTTTCTTTCTTTCTTTCTTTCTTTCTTCTTTCCTTCCTTCCTTCCTTTCTTTCTCTCTCTCTCTCTTTCTTCCTCCTTCCTTACTTTCTTTCTCTCTCTTTCTTCCTTCCTTCCTTCCTCCTTCCTTCCTTTCTCTCTCTCTCTCTCTCTCTCTTTCTTTTTTTTTTTTACATGATACTTAAGTGGATGAAATCAGTGGTGGGATTCAAATAATTTAACAACTGGTTCACCCAGGGTCAAGTTGGCTGTTGTGGGAGGCGTGGCCTATCCCTGTATTCCAGCTCTGCTGCAAATCTGAGACAAGCCTCCCGCGATGGCCAACCTGACCCTGAGTGAACCAGTTGTTAAATTATGCCCACCCCCGCTATCAAAGTGGATCCTGGGTGCTGTGCTGTGCTGCAATGGAGAAACGGCAACAGAGCAGCCGGCCCGAGGGAAGAAGGAGTAGGGAGAAGAAAGAGGGTAAGCGGCCTTCTCCTTTCCTCGTACCGGCTGCTCTGTTGCCGATTTCTCCATTGCAGCACAGTGCAGTGCCCAGGATCCACTTTGATAGCCGGGGGGTGGTGGTGTGTAATTTAACAACCGGTTCACCCAAACCAGTGCGAACCGGCTGAATCCCACCACTGGATGAGATGCTCTGGTACAAAAAAAGTAGATGGCTGTCCCTTCTGAAAACAGAGGTTGATCACCCAGAGTTCCTTGGGTGGCCACAATTCAATTGTTGTTACCAGCAGGTTCTCTTCACATTCTTTTAAAGACTACCATTCTCCATAAAATAAATACTTGAATAAATGTTATTACTTACAGAGTAGCTATATTAAAATATCATTAGTTTCATTTCTATTTTCATTATGTGGTTGTATTTTATCTTATTGTTAATTCGACTTAAACACTGGATGGAAGATGGATTCAGCCAGTGGTGGATTGCTCCCGGTTCGGTCCGTTCTATAGAATCGGTAATAAAACTGGTGGGAGGCTCCGCCCACCCACCACGACATCATCATGGGTGATCTGCAGATGCGCAGAAGTGCACGCGTGCTCCCGTTGCGAACTGGTAGTAAAGGTAAGTAGAACCCACCCCTGGATTCAGCACATTAAGGAAGACAACATAAATACGGGAAGTGGTAGTCTCTTGCGATGCATAGCCATTTCACTTCATTTAACCAACTTTCATGAATCGAACAGAAATGAAAAAGAGCTAAAAAAAGATAAGATTGTTGGCGACGGTAGCCATGTAGTAGAATCCTTGTCCCTTTTGATGTGCGTTGCAGGTACAACTGATGTAAAAAAAAAAGGAGCTTTCATCATGTGATCATGGTTACAACTTAACTTTTTTGATGAGCCTAATCAGCATAATCACTTTCTTTTATCAGTATTTATATATTTTAAAATTGATTCCATTTATTTTCCCATCTTGAATAAACATTCTCTGCAGCCACAGGATTTCATCCGTTTTGTCTCATTTGGGGGGTCTCCACTTCATACCCTTACACCATATTGGCATATTTATCATCCATATAACTTATCATTCTTTTAATAATATAGCATTCTTATAATTATAATTACATAACAGATAATTATATAATACCTTATGTGAATTGGGTCGCCATATCAATTTATTTAATAACACGTAAGTAATAAACACATAATATGGTTAGAATGCAATATTGCAGGCTAACTCTGCCCACTGCTAGGAGTTTGATTCTCATTGGATCAAGGTGGACTCAGCTATCTGTCCTTCCGAGGTTGGTAAAATGAGGACCCAGATTCTTGGGGGCAATAGGCTGACTTTGTAAACTGCTTAGAGAGGGCTGTAATTGAGCCCCAGTGAGCCCCTTAACATCACTTAATGTTGTTAAGTGAGAAATTTGTTAAGTGAGTTTTGCCCCGTTTTACAACTTTTCTTGCCACAGTTGTTAAGTTGAGTCACCGCAGCTGTTAAATTAATAACACGGTTGTTAAGTGAATCTGGCTTCCCCATGGACTTTGCTTGTCAGAAGGTTGCAAAAGGGGATCACATGACCTTGGGACACTGCAATGGTCATAAGTATGATCCAGTTGCCAAGCATTTGGATTTTGATCACATGATCATGGGGATGCTGCGAAGGTTATAACTGTGAAAAATGCTCATAAGTCACTTTCTTCAGTGCCGTGGTAACTTGGAAGGTCACTTAATGAACTGTTATAAGTCAAGGACTACCTGTACTGTATAGCAATTGCTCTCACTCCTAGATATCTGAAGTTGATCAGTATCTTGATGTTTGGTTAAGTTGTGGTTGGGTGATGGCCAACAAGCTGTCCATCAGAAAGTAGCCTCAGGGTCCCTGACCCAACTCAGCTTTTCTCTCGATAAGCCTCCAAAATACTTTTCACAACTTGCCTCCAGAAGTTATGAAATGTGAATGCTCCAACACTGGAAAGTTTTAAGAAGATGTTGGATAACCATTTGTCTGAAGTGGTGTAGGGTTTCCTGCCTAAGCAGGGGGTTGGACTAGAAGACCTCCAAGGTCCCTTCCAACTCTGTTATTCTATTCTATTCTATTCTATTCTATTCTATTCTATTCTATTCTATTCTATTCTATTCTATTCTATTCTACTCTACTCTACTCTACTCTTGTTCTGCCCCAGCTCCGGATTTCCTAGGATATTGATACACACCAACTGTGTGTTTATTAAGCAGCAAGAATAAACAAGACCGGCAAAGGTTGGCAACCAGCCCAGAAAACAAGATATGATAAACCAAAATACTCTGATAATAAATACGAGTTGTTTCCAGCAAGAAAGCACTAGCTGCGTGCGACTTAAATAGGCTAAGGGAGTGGCCAATTATCCTCAAGCCCTACTCTCAAGTAGACCTCCTCCTGTTGAGTAGCCACTCCTGCCTTTTGGCAGCCCTGCGTGCTTGAGCATTGAGGAGAGGCTCCTCCACTTGAAGAGGTTCCTCTCTGGAGGTTCTGAAGGCCCTGGCTGAGTCTCTGCCTCTGGCATCACATCCTCTTCAGCCTCCTCACTGTCCGACATGAGCGCTAGCTGCGCAGGCTGCTGGTGCGACACCACACCAGCCTCCTCTTCGTTGGGATCAGTCATGATCCATGCAAGCTGCTGGCGGGGCACAACAACTCTACTCTATTCTATTCTATTCTATTCTATTCTATTCTATTCTATTCTATTCTATTCTTATTTTCAATATATTCTAAACATAATTGACAGACATG